TCTTACAATAAATATAAATCCAATTCAGTTTAAGTTGATTCAATTAGTATAAAAGAATTTAAATTAAATAAAAATACTAAAATAAATAAAAAATAATTAAAGAATATAATAGTTTACAAGAATTAATTCAATATACCTTGAATTTAAAAATTTTAAAGTTATATTTAAGTTTCTTATATACTTCCTTCTTCTCCTTCTAGTTAATTACTACGCGATATTAATAGGATAATATATAAAAATTATATTAAACTAGCTAACGCTTATTTGTTATTGTTTTAGAGCTTTAGGATTAATATATTTATTTAATTTGAATATAGAATAATTCGAATTAACTAAAGTTCACTTTAGTAGGTAGTGCTGTAAGGACTATAGGGGGGGTATAATAATTGATACGTAATAAATAATCGATTAAACTCCCTATACTTTATTCTGAATAGCTTCAAACTTAGATGTTAGTTATTATTTAGAATTTCAAGAATTATATCTATTCTATATTTATAAAATTCATTATATCTATAGATTTTTTATATTTAATATTATTACGGAATGTTACGAACATCGATATAGGATCGATATCGGGCCGACTATTAGTCCGGAAGCGAAGAGTTTTCATATATATATAGCTTCAGGAAAGAGGTTTCGAAGGAATTAATGAAAAGTCTTATTCTAATCCTATATTTATATTATACTAATCGTCACTTTATATTGATTCTAATAATTCTTTTTATTTAACCCTTTTAGAGCAAGCTATCAACTAGTTTTTGGAAATAGCTTTAAAGTTTCGAAAGCTTCAGATTTCAATTAGGTTATGATATGCCTATAATATATTTATAATATATTATCAGTATATAATTGATATTATTCATTATTATAATTTCTATTTTATTAAAATCGAATTGAAAAAAAACTAAAAAAAAAATATCTTTATAATACAAATTCTTCAAAAGGTCTACAGAGTATTATTGCGATATAATATTGATATCTTTTCAAAATAAATAATTGAATAAAAGGAAAAGAAAATCTCTTTTGTAAAACGATTACAAACTTTATTCCATATTATGCCTGTAAGATATTAGTAGTGTATTCATTTTATATTGTTATATTATTAAAGGCAATAATTGTTTTAAATATCTTTTAAAATAATTTAGAACTTTTAGGGTTTTCAGGATTTTTCTGATTTCCTTTAAATTCTAAGAATTCAATAGAAAGCTATTAAAGCTTTATTATTTATAAGATTCTTGTTAAAGATAGGATCTTTGTATAATATTAGGAAAGAGTTTAGCTAATCATTTTATAATCAATTCATTAATAGAAATTAGTTTTATAAAATTCCTATCCCAAAAAGACAGGGTTTTTGATATAGTATTTTATAAAAGAAAAAGGTCTAGTTAGTTATTTAGATTTCTATCAAGAAAAACAGAGTCTTTATATAACATTAGAGAAGAGCTTAGCTAATTATTCTGTAATTAATCAAGATTATTGATTAAAATCAATTGTAAACAATTGAAATCATATCAAATAGTTTATATATTAGCTTGAAATAAAATAGTTTTTGCTAGAATTGTTTACTCTGAAAAGGTAAATATAAAGATAGTATTTTTGATATCTTTTAGATTTTAAAGGTTCAAAAAGCTTTATTATTTTCAGATTTTTTAGATTTTTAAAAGTTTAATATAAATTAATAAAACTAATAAATTTAAAATTCTTTTAGATTTCAAGGAATTAGCAGGAAGCTTATAAAGTTCCACTATTTTCAGGATTTTCAGGTTTTTTCCGGATTCCCCGGATCTTCAAGTCTCTTTCAGGATTTCAGACTTTTTTCAGGATTTTCGGGATCTTCAGGATTCCTCTTAGGTTTCAAGGAACTAGTAGGAAATTTGTAAAACTCTACTATTTTCAGGATTTTCAAACTTTTCTAAGATTTTCAGGATATCAGGCCTCTTTCAAACGTTTCGGATTTTTATTATTTTTAGGATTTTGAATATTATATAACATCAAAAATGCTATTTATTTCTAATTTTATAGATTTTATATAATTTCGAAAATTTGTTAGAAAGCTAGCGAAACTCTATTATTTTTAAAAAATTTCAGGATTTTTAGATTTTGAGAGTATTGATCTGACTAGCTTATAAAATTCTATCATTCTTCAGGATTTTCAGATTTTGAGAATATTAGTCCAACTAACTTATAAAGTTCTATTACTTTTCAGGATTTTTAGATTTTGAAAATATTAGCCCAATTAATTTATAAAGTTCTATCATTTTCAGAATTTGAAGTATTATTCGTCAACAAATTGCTATCAAATTCTAATTTTATATATTATATTTTCAAGAATAAAAACCAAAAAAAAAAAAGGCAAAACCCTATCAAATATAAATCATTACCTTATTATCAAATACAAACCATTACCCTATCAAAAACAAATCGATTTCCTTTTCGAATTTTTCGAATTTTTCAAAAATTTTAAGATTTTCAGATTTTAAAAAAGTATTAACTCAACTAGCTCACAGGATTCTATCATTTTCAGGATTTTCAGAATTTGGAATACTATTCACCAGCAAACTGCTATTGAATTCTAATTTTATATATTTTTGAAAACAAAAGCCGAAAAAGGGAAAAGCAAAACCCTATCGAATACAAATATCGAATACAAATATCGAATACAACCCTTTCAAATACAAACCATTATCTTACCAAAAACAAATCGATTTTTCCTTTCGAATTTTCGAAATTTTCAAGGTTTTTAGAATTTTAAGGTTTTTAAAATTCAAATATGGATTGGATTTTATAGATTAAATTAATTCTTAGCATTTTTGTATTACAGTATAATTCCTTTTAAGAGTTATAAAAAAATTGAACTTTATAAAATAAGGATATAGATATTGTAATATTAATTTATTATTGTAGAAGTTAATAAGGCTTAAAAAAGAGGTTGATACAGTAGTAATTAGCTATCGAATAGTTTTAAAGTTTTCAAAAATGAAAGTCTAAGAGAGAAGGGCTCTGTTATAGATATTGATATAGGATCAATATCAGGCCGACTATTAATCCAAAAGCGAAGAGTTTTTATATATATATAGCTTCAGGAAAGAGATTTCGAAGGAATTAATAAAAAGTCTTATTCTAGTTCTACATCTATATTATACTAGTCGTTACCTTGTACTGATTCTAACACGGAATTTGCTATATGATGTAATCTTATAGTACTAATCCCGATACTCCTTTGGAGTATTTATTCCTATAATTATCAAAAACTATATTATCTATTTCATTTGTATGCCCTATATATCTAATTAGGCGAGTACCTTGCCCGATCAGGGTATATAAACAAGGTGTAATCTTTATAATTATACCTCAAATCAATCTAGTTTATTATTACTCTATATACCTACCTCCTAATTAAAGTAATTATTAGACCTAGCTATTACCTCCGTGATAATTATAATATTTAATCTATTACTTAATAGCTTTTTTTTGAATTAGATAAGAGTATTTAATTAGCTATATACTGGTTTTATATTTATTATATTATAAATATAAAAACCCCTCATTTCCTTTTAGATAGTTTGAGTACCTAGAAGGAAATAGGGGCTTTTTATGTTTATAGTGTAATAAATATAGAACCGCTATATAGCTAATTTGTTGAATAGACTTAGAAAGGTATAAATAGGGTTAGAATGATATAGTATTATATTATCTGCCCTCTTTGTACAAGGAGGGTATTACTATACTATATATATGTTCTACCCTATATACGTACTTTGTACGGCGATGAGGGGTTAGTATATGATTTATTCACGTGCTTCAATACAATTAAATGCTTTTATTTGATTTAAAAAAAAGCTACCAAGCAGTCGATTAAATGCTGTAACGAATGCAAAAAACCTATGAATGCAAGCGATTCAATGAATGTGGAACGAATGCTTTTCTTGAAACTCTAAATGCTGACTAATATACGGAATTGAAGCTATTCAGAATACGCTCATTCTATCCCCTAGACCGCCAACTCAGGACTCCTCGCGTATACAGGGTCATACTGACCAATCAAATCCTCAGGATTTAAAGAGATCTTATTATTTTGAAACGTTTTTTTATAATAAATATCAACTAGTTATGATTGTAATAAAAATAAATAGTATATTCGTTATATTTCTATATAATCTTATATATATCTTCAACTTTTGAATAAATATTGAATTTTTGATTTGATATCTTATTATTATTATAAATTATTTATAAATCACATCTAAAGTTCTCTTCTTTTGAGAAACAAAATATAATAATATTTATAAAAGTTTTCAATCAATTTTTTTTAATTAAAAACATATAGAAATAAACTTCATATATTTATTATGATTTATTTAAGAAATTTGAATCTTTAATTCTAAATATAAGTATTTTTATTTTTAATACTATTTATGAGGTTATTGATGTTCTTACTCAGTGCACGGACCACAAAGGAGTCCTGAGTTGGCGGTCTCGAGGCGGTCTAGGGGATAAGGGGTTCATTCAATCATTGTATGCCACTCATCACACCCCCCCTGTTACCCTTGCAACGCCACTAGAATAAACTTTGGCCATTTTGAAGCTTTCTAATATTCAAAATAAATAAATGTAGTGGTTTTGAAGCTCTAGAGTGATAGCGAGTAAGCGCCAACTAGCTTAACATAACTTTTATGCATTGCCCCATCAATATCGCACAGCAATTAGCTAGAAAAAGGAGAGAAAGCGTAACACCCTATTACTTTCGTTTTCTATCCAAGTCATAGAGCGATACATAATATATCGACGTATTGCACTTATCCATCTGGTATCTTAATATTTGTATTATCATCATTCATTCCTCATGATCACATATTCTTTCTAACTTTCATTATGACATCCACCATTCCTGCCCATTTATCGTTATGAATGCTTCCCCAATCAAAAGCACGGTAATCATCTCCAACCAATACAATATCTATGCCCCTAGATGGAATTTTATATCCCCCGCCCAGCTTCTATACCGAGCTCTTCTGCAGTGTGATCTTATCATCAATCGTACTCAATCTAACGCTTTCGACACTTTCTCTTCCTCTGAATCGAGGGTTATACGAGCATTTCTTTATCAACAAGAATACAGCAAGTCCAACCAAAGCTAGACCACCCGCAATACAACCGACTGCAACACCAGCAACAGCTGATTTAGACAGCCCACTAGAACCCGACGATGACGAGTCTGAGGTAGTAGACGACGAAGCTGTCGCTGTAGAAGTTGCAGCTGATGTTGCGACAGAGCTCGCAATGCCCTCGGTAGAGGGACCAGTGACAGTAGCGTTGAAACAGGAGACGCTTGTAGTAAAATCACTCTCTTTTATGAAAGTCTAAATGTATAACCTGATCAGTCTCCTGTAGCGATGTGTTCAGTTTTTTGCAATCGGGGTTCTTACAATATCTGCACAAGCATAAAATGTTTCGTTCCCACTCCCATCGTATGTTGAGGTATATTCAAGCTGGATTGTCGCGTTTGTACCAGCTTCAATATCGGATGGAGAGTCTGGTGTGGTGTAACACTGATGTCCGGCCTCAAGTTCGGAGACTGTATGTAAAATCTGGGTAGTAAAATCCGATTGAGTGGTTGGCTCTGAGATACATTTAGTCTTGGTAAGAAAAGATGCGTCAGCTATGTCTTACTGTCCATATATGCTATGCGAACAACGACATCCCAGGTTTCTCCGGATGCCACAAGTGCAACTTTCCCTGAGTCTGTATGTTTGAAGTATATTAGCCGTGACTATGTTACAACTTTCAAGAGGATCGTACCCAAAGGAAAATCTGTGCGGTTCCCAACCGTTCCATCATTTCTTCCACAGGGACTGTTATTTTGCCACGCAGCATACCAAGTACGTTGCTCTGGCCACACGAACTCAACTGGACCGTTCGCCGTTTCTGCTTCCCCGGATACACGATCGAGGTTGAGAATGAGAAATGAAGCCAAAACAGGAAGATATTTGAAGAGCATTTTGAAACAAAGTGTCTTAGATTCTTTCAGTTGAAGGATAGTGGTCGACAATCATGAAGACAAGAGAGAACTAGGTCATATATGCACGCATCCAAACCAAAAACTATTTCGGGTCCGAACCCGAAAGTCATAGAGCTTGAAAATCAAGAATGAAAACATTCAATCGCCTTGCTCTGAGTAATGATTTCTATCCATTACGAAACGTAGCAAGGTACCAATCATGAAAGCTCTTGGCCTCAATTCCATGCGAAAGTACGCCTGTGAAAGTGTGCGTTTGAACCATAGCACAAAACAGAGTCACAAGCATACAACGCTGCCAAGTGAGACCAGTCGGAGTCGGATATATTCACAAGATTTGACGGGCCATATCAGACTTGGAAAATAAGCTCTACAAGTAAAAGAAGCTATTGGAATGTGGCAGCAAGGTTCACATAGCAGAGTAGGCTGGTCTTCTTCTCCACTCTGATATGTGATTTGGTAAAATATTCATGCACGTCCCACTTTTTCGCGAAATTTTACATCTTATCTGATCCGAAATTTCCATCTAATCAGATGTAACTACGAGGTACTGGAAAATGGAGAGGGTGGAGTAGATATCAGCCAATAAATTTGTGCAAACTTATCAGATGAAAATCTGATGTTATGGCAGCGCAAAATGGTATTGGCGTCAAGCTAACATTTTTGATTTGTTCTTCGGACCAACAGGAATCATTTCACTTGGATCAAGAATTTTCCCGTCCACTACGTATTTGGCTTCTTTCCAAAGAACTCTCCGGTCAGGCAATTATTGGCATAAACGGGGCATCTAACTTGAAGTCAGTCTCAATCTTTTGTGGTACTCTGAAGCCACCCCAGAAAATTTCTCCTCCTCATCTAATCTGATTCGATCTTATCTAATCTAATCGATCTCCGTCCATAGGAATAGCCTAGACTAGAGTTCCCCGTCTCGCTCTTTTCTTTCACAAACGTTAGGTCAAGTGCGACGTTTTTTGAATCATCGGACCACGTCCACATGCAGGGACACGGCACAATGTATCTTGCTTGTATTTCAATAGTCCATCGACCTCATCGACCCATATTGGAGTTTTTTCGGAATGTCGCCGAATCTCCTTGGCATTTCAATGTCGTGAGTCAAAGTGGAGATTCAAGTAGACCGCGTCTCAATCTTCGGGACCGTAAACTTTGGCCCTTCATTTCTTTCTTATATATGAAGGCACGTCGCCGATCAAGTATGCATCTATTCATTATCTTAGACAGCTCAATCATACCACCCAAGTCGTCAACTTAAGACAAATCATCACCTCAATCAGCATCATGATTTTCATCACATCAATTATCAAGGTCGCGACTCTTGCCGGACTTCTCGCTCCAACAGTCCTTGCTACTTTACCAGAAGCTTTGATCGTCAAGCGTCAAGATGAGGACAACGCCGTCGGTACCAATTCCTACAACTGCCACGACAATTGCGGTATATTTGCTTTCCCATCAGGTCTCCTCTTCAGACACACAGCTAAATAAACTTCTCAAGATCGATACTAACATCCTTCATAGGTGAGGCCATCCTCGAATCTGAAATCGATGGCTTCTGCAACACCACAATCTTCTCCACTGACTACGCTGCCTGTCTCCAATGCTCCGGCGAGGATAACGAGGACATCTGGCAATACTATGGTCCATATTTGACTGTTGCTGCTGTGGAGTGTGGATCTTCCACTGTGCCATTGACCGGAACTCAAGCCGACGTTGCCACCGCCATGCTCGCCCAAAACGTCACTACAACCGCCAGCGGCGCTACTGCAACTGTTTCCAGCAACTTTGCAACAACAACTGCCGCAGCTTTTAGCTCTGAGTCGACTACTAGCTCCGGATCAGCTTCCAGCAGCACTGACACTGGATCTTCTGCTTCGGTATGTGTTCTTTTGTTTTGTTAATAGATTGAGGGATTGCTAATTTCTATGAAGGCTACCTCTACCAGTGGTGCAATCCAGCAAATCAATTCAGCCAGCGGTTTCCTCATCGGTGGTGTCAGCATCCTCGTTGCCGCTGCTGTCGCCAACTTGGCTTAATTACAATCAAATTCCTTAGAAATATGCAGACTGCTTTAGGATTGTGGTCCGGTGGTCAATGAATGAATGAATGCTGATAATTTATCGAGTCGATGGTGTCTTTCTCTTATTTAGTATATAATTAATATGTGAATCATCTTAATCAATCAACTGTGTTTCTTCGGATGTAATGCGCTGTGTCTAGATCATTTATGCTATTATAGAAAAGTAAGGATCCATTCAACAGGGCATAATCTTGTAAGCTGTGAAAATTGACTTTTGATCTTGTCAGGGGCTTCTTCGGACTTCATTGACTCCACCTTGGAATGAATAAAACATTGTGAGATAAATTAGCTCTGCTGATCTGAGACTCTAGGGAAGCCATCAAACATCGCCATCTTCAATCATCCCCAATGCTCAAACTGCTCCTACCATCGTTGCGGCATTGTTGTTGTTATAGCGTCAAAGATAACAGTTTGTCTCACGAGCAACCACGTACCAGTGTTGGGACTGGATAACTCAATATCTCAGACTTACAGTGTGGGAAACATTTGCCACATTCTGCATCCCTCCTCCAATGTACTATTTAGTCTACAAAGAGTAACACGTCTTATAAAAGAGATGCACATCAAAGGGTCAAAGACCGTTTGGATCATAGTTCCATTCATGTCCAGAAACACCATTAGATAGGTATGGATATGAATCACAAGTGAAGGTGAGTAATCTTATGTATTTGTGTGTTCATGGACGGGAATGATAAGTCCTATTCTTCAGCTGCTGTACTGTACTGTTAGTACCTCTAAACATTCATTCATTATGTACTCCATCAACTTAGGGATCGGATAATAACATATTCTCAAAGGGAAAGATCGATTTACTTCTCGACTTGAATATACTAGACTATACCTGATACCTCAAACATTATAGACACCCAGAAGATGACTCAAAACAGACGTCCACCGCTCTTGAAGAAATTCCTAACGATGAGATTGTGACTGATTAGCACAAACTGAGACGTAGCATACAATAAGAAATGAAAAAGGGTCTAATACAAGAAAGACCTTAAAGATGACCCACATCTCTATGATATTGATTGAGAGTGGGAAGACAGGAGAGTCAAATCTAGCAGTGGAACTGAAAAAGATTGTGACTAAGATTGCAGAGAAATTCGTCCTCAACCAGTGTGCACCTTCATAGGAGATAACATTCAATCCTAAGCTGGCAATAAATGAGACCTAGAAGTAATATCCCATCCAGGTGCCAATTATCTTGAATCGTCGCAAGTCTTATTGGTGAAGGGATCTGCTTCAGCACATTCTAGATGACTGTTGTTCTGTTGCAGGGACGTCGATATTGAGATGGTTTCACCTCAGTACTTGAGGTTGATAAGTTTTGTCATTCAATATCCGAGAGTTGTTGTGAGTAAGTTTGGTATCTCTCAAAGAATTAGAAAGAACACATTGTGGGCAGAGAAGCAACGTAAGGAGGGACCTACTCTCCTCTTTCTATGACCGCCATCATGTCCATGTCGCTCTTCATGGCAATCTTAATCCCAAACCATGTCATCACCAAATTCTCATTCACTTGTCGCGCTAGATCTTATACTAACCATTGATGGACATATTATAGAACACTTTGATCAGTTAGGGTGTTAAATCAATTATGGTTGTGTTCGAAAATGTAGTATCGATGTGGTAGAGTTGATTGAAGCTATCAGCACACTAAATTGTGAGTTCATAGTTAAAAGTTGCAAAAAATGCGGTACCCAGGAGCTAAGTTTCCTAGGAGTAAGCTGATCTATCTTTCTTACAGATGAGGATAAGATGAGCCATGTAATAGATGCACTCGGGTAAGTCTTATGGAGGCTGGAGTAGTGGATTAAATCCAAGCTTGTTACATTAAATTAAACTATATGGCCAGGGCATCGGCACACACACCCCTGGTGGTGAATTGGGTCAGTTTGAGTACCGGTTGTCTAATAAAGTTTCTTAAGTTTAAGTGGCTCACTAGCAACTGCTCTGGGAAAGGTTTCTTTTATACAGGAAGAAGGCAGGGGGAGGGATGGTTAGAAGATACTTGAATAGTTTAGTTTCAATGGAGAAAAAAATTGCATTTAATTAGACATGGTAATATGATCTAGAATCTAGACGCAATAAGACACACACTCTCCTCATAGCTCGAAATCTTATTACATTAGATGGGGAGGTGTCTACACCCTGGACATTGGCTCAATAGTTTTTTTTTGAAACTTTGATAGAGAGTATAAGACAACTCAAGACAAATTAATGTATCTACCAAAATGAAAATGCATAGGTATATCATATACGATGTGCATGCTTGTTCATTATGGTTTAATACACTCAATTTCATAACTAGCTTCCAAAACGTGATTTTATGGTCTCACAACCTTTTTAATGAAAACGATCAATAATAAAATCCTAACTTTATTAATATAGTTTCAAAATCAAAAATCTCTACACCAAATGAAAGCGATTAATTGATTCAATTATTATTCAAAATTTGAAGCGATTCAAACTTATATTGATTGATTGGTAGATGGTTTAAAATAATATAATATTTCAAAGGTTTTAGTAGGCGAAATAGGTTGATCATAACTAGCTTCCATTCAGTTTTTAGATTTTTACCCTGAAATTTCAATCTCAATCAAGATGATTTAGAATCAAACGAAATTTAAACAAATGATAGAGTTAATCATTCTCTATTATATGATGCTATACTTATTCAAATCAAAGCCAGATTGATAAAGTTGTCATAGATTGAAATATCGAAATATAACATTGAGGTATTTTTAACGAAGCACAGAAAAGTCACGTTTTGGAAGCTAATTATGAAATTGGGTGTAAGTAGTTTGATAAGCTGTATTTCTTAGCTAAAAGTTCAGCCCTACAGATGGCTCGAGCGTTTTGAAATATCAAGATCAACATTTACCTTAAAGACAAACAAACTAATGGAAACCAAACCCAGATTCAAACATTTCATTAGGATCACCTACAATCATTACCATAACTATTACCATAACCATCAAAATCACCACCGTCTCATGGCCACCCTATGCTTCTAGATTCTACATACTAGTCCAGTCCTTGCTTCATTCCTTTACTAGCAGAATGATCCGACAAAGCCTTGGGAATTCACCCATCTCGAATGCACTCCTCAACAAATCACTCAGATGTAGACCACATTTGAATGTTTTCCACAATATACGAAGGCAATCCTATCTTAAACATGTTCGTTCCTCCCTATAGTTCTCTAATTAAAATCCTTCGACCCTCATGTACCACAAACCCCTCAAATTCTATATTCAGCAAAGATCAACTTTGCTGTATAATCACATAAGGTGTACTTTGCTAATCATGAATGTAGGATCAAATAGATGTATCCTATCACTTCCTGGGGAGCATTCCTCTCAGTCATGAAGACATCGGGCTATTTGAAAAGGATCGTTTTGAATCAATCAACAAAAAGGTCAAGGAGCAATTAGATATGATGAAATTGGTTGGCCACAGAGATACCATCACACACGAGAAGATAATCACAAACAATCCCAGCCTTCACGAGAAAAAGAACCTCACATTTGACGAAAAGATGAAGGAGCTGAAAGCAGATTTTGGGGAGTTGAAAAGAGCCTTAGAGGCAGATATTGGGGAGTTGAAAAGAGCCTCAGAAGCAGATATTAGGGACTTGAAAGGAGAGAAAGTGAGGACTGAAAGATTGGAAAGAGTCTTAGAAACAGAGAAAGTGAAGACTGAAAGATTGGAAAGAGTCTTAGAGACAGAGAAAGTGAAGACTGAAAGATTGGAAAGAGTCTTAGAGACAGAGAAAGTGAAGACTGAAAGATTGGAAAGAGATAAGATGTTAAGATATGAGGGAGAGACGGTCAATATGAGAAAGCGACTATGGGAAATGACGCGTGACAACACGGATTCTACGCAGAAGATATATGAGTCAACTTCGATGAAAACCGCTAGAAAGCAACGAAGTCGATCCGCACATCAAACTGATTTGGACACAGTAATGAAGCTAGCCGATAAAGATCCTCAATCTTATGACATCCTTTTAGATGCGATATATGGAGCGTCAAAAAAAGATATCAAACTCCTGATTGACGCGGACAAGACTGGTGGGAATCAAGTTTATAACATCTTGAATGACCGTGGTTCAGCTTTCCACAATCATTATGCCAACACTTGTATAAAGCCTTTCAATTTGTGGTTATCAGTAGTGCGTGGTCTTCAAAGTATACAATCAAATACAGCGAACAAACCATCTTCTGATCACGAAAGTTGTGTTCGAACACAAAAGGCTAAGGTCCAGGAATCGATTCGAGAATGGGATGCAGCTCTTGAAGTGGATAAGTCCAAGAGAGATACCAATACGAAGACATGTCAAAGGGAAATTCTGAAGGATTACGAAGACAGAGATCTGATTCCATATATACAGAAATTGTCTGTTCCTAGAGGAGAAAGTAAGGCTTCATGAATTTGAGGGGATGAAGTAGAGGAGCTAGAAGAAAGGTATTGATGGGTTGGGAGCGAGAGTTAGGGGTAAATGTCTCTATGATGATATGAAATACAAACATTGAATACGGAGTATGGAAAGTTAGAGTGGAGTTAAACACAGATACCTATTTTGGTTTATTGTAGCTAGTACTCTTGATGGATAAGAAGAGATAATATGAAGTGCATCATGGTTTGGTTTTAGATAGGTATCAAATAATGCCAGTCAGGACTTCTTGACATTGCTATGTTTATGCTGTTATGATATTTGTGAATATTGCTGTGAAGTAACTATTGAATCAGTAGTAATGTGTATGTTAATTGTAAAAAGTGGTTTATCAGATCCTAAAGGTGTAAACGACTCTTTCTCGTCAAATTTCTACCCACTCATAGATCCATTCATCTATATTTCCATCCACTCATCCATCATATTCGCATCTTTTTTGTTCATCATAAATGAGGCTGGAGGGGATATTGAATCAGATGAGAGAGTTGAGATTAAGTGATTTTATATCATTCATAGAGGAAGCGAAAAAAGGGTGAGGGGAAGATTGGCGTGTAGTTCTACTCTGGCGTGGTATATGCTAAGATTTTTTGAGAAAATTCATTGTTTTGAAGTTTGAGCTATAAGAATTAAAAAATTTCATGGCACCTAGGTATCTTTTCCGCGAGCATAGCTAAGATTTGTTGATAGCAAAATCGAAGATCATGTTGAATTGTGGAATGACTGAATCAGGGAATGAAGAATTAATCGAATCGCAGGGAGCTTTGAGTTTGATTGAATTCCAGAGAATCTCAGAGTTAATTGGAGCATAACTGGTATGAGAGCAAAGGATGGTGTGATCAACTGGTACTGTATTAGTCTCTGTACCTACTAGACAGGAGTAGATCCGGGGGGAGTTTTGGTGAGGATTGTTTGGTTGCTACTCATCTAAGCGAGTACCTAGTGTCTACCTTTTAACTGATAATATGAGTATATAATGATGCAATAAATGATACTATCTAATACATGTTATTTCTCGCCTCTCCTTCAACTGATATCCATACCCAAATACTTGTCTTCATCTGTCCTTGCAATGAAACATTGTTCACACAAGAAAATTATCATAAATTATCTTATTGCTCACCAAATAACAATATCAAAACCACAGTGTGATAAACCTACAATCTCACACACCTCCCACTTTCCTTGACACAAATCAAAACACTCCAAATCCTTTCAAAATCAAAACATATCATAAATCTTCCAGAGAACAAACACTTCATCTCGATACAGAAGTAGCGTTCTCAAGTACAATTATTAAAGCGACGACGAGGACAAGTGCGGTACTTGCTAAGATAATTTTCTTAATATTGGAAGACATGTAATCCGACACTTGTTCTTCGGTGGCGATACAACTTCAGAATTTTCAAAGATACATCTCCACTTCGCAGAAGAAGCCAATTCTCGCACTAGTTGAAAACGATATTAATGCAGATTTCCAGAAGTATCAGTCTCTTTTTACATGCAATCCGGTAATTAATCTCTCTAATATAAGTTCTTAATAGCGCAGGCCGTTGTAAATACGCCTGTCTAGCATGTTGAACTAAAAATTCCTGTAGGGTTTTGAGGTCCCATGATCATCGATATCAATTCTCAACTTGACACGAGGGGTCAAGATGCCACTTAAAATTGCATCTACTATCTCACCTGCTCATGATTTTCTTTCGGAATCACAATTGCGAGGCAAGACTTTGCAAAATTTGAGGAATCCTAACCGATTAGATTCAAACTCTTCATCGATACTGTTAATTCTTTGGATCAATCCGCAAGTGAGATAGACGAAATGTAATTAACTTTCGTTCCTTCATGGTGAAAGTGCTGGAAATGATGAAAATGATGAAGATGATTGTTGTCGTGGTGATAGATGTTGGTGTGACTCATACGATGATGAATTTTATCGTCTTAGACAGGAACCGCGTGTGCAGCTATTGTGGTCGTGATGATAACAAAGAAGCTTCCCATGAGATTGATTGCCATGCTGGAGTTTGCGATGGAATTCTGGATCATATGAGTTTAGATAGTGAAGTGAAATATGAGGAAAGACTTGGTGGGGAAGACAATTGTGGTTAGGGAGTTGATTAAAGCGAGACAGGAAAGAAGATGGAACTTGCAGTCTCCTTTAGAGGTGTTACTACTTGCACTATGTAGAGATGAGGTTGTGGCTTTCTACGAACAAAGAGGATGAGCTTGAGTAGGGGTCGTCATGAACAATTGGGTTTCTGACCTCTTCTCTTCTTTTCTTGATCTTTTTATCATTTGCTTTTAGATTTATGAGATACATATTCATTCTTGGAGGTTAGCTCTTATAATAAGAAGGAATAGTATTATTATAAGGATAGTGGAAGATCTAGTTAGTTTTAGCTTGAGGGATAAATCGAATATATAGAATAAGAGTTGAATTGAAGTCAATTTAAAAAAGCTAAACTGAATTGAGATGAAATTGCTTACTTTTTCCTAGATTTTCTTTAAAGAATATTCTAGATTTATATAGTTTATAATAAAATTCCAGTATATTCCATACTTATAAATAAAATCGATTTAAATCGTATCTTATAAAATCATTTTAGATAATAAAAAGAAAGTACAACCAATCAATTTAGCGAGATTTCCTATATACTTCTATCTAATTTCATTTCATTCTATTTCATTATAAATCAATTTGATAAAAGATACTATTATACAATTATATGATAATATGATTTTATAATATAAGATTATATTATATATATATTAATTATTAATATATTCTTTATTTAATAAGATATTAATAAATGATTTAATGGATTTATTATAAATCCTTATATACTCTTTTAATAGGTGTACTAAATTAATCTTATTTATCTTAATTCAGATTAATCTGATTCGTAAATTCAATCAATTTGATTCGAGTTAATAGTTTAATAAGCCTATTAGCTTTCTGTTTATTAGTAGATATATAAATTAGATCTAAATTCCCTAATTTAATAATATTCTTAATATAATAAAATCTGATTACTATATACTTACTTCTTTTATAGAATATAGAGTTTTTAATAAGTGCTAATGCGGCCTGATTATCTGTATATAGAGGAAATTTATTCTGTTTATATAGATTAAATTTCAATAATAGCTTTTTAATAACTAGATTTATAATAATAAATTCAGATTCGACTATAGAAAGAGCTATTACTAATTATAATTTAGATTTCCAATTAATAAGCCTATTTTCTAATATAAATATATATCCGTTAATGGATTTATATATATTGATTTCTCCTTTATAATCAGTATTACAGAATTCTTGAATATAAAGGTTTTTAATTTTATTATAATTTGTATCCTTATTTATAATTCTTTTTAAGTATCTTAGTACTTTTTTAGTGGCTTGAATATATTCTGTACTAGAATTGGATGAGAAACTAGTTAATCTAGATATGGAAAATACTATATCTAATCTAATTCCGAGAGCTAAATATAATAAAGAATCTATAATTTCTTGATATAGTTTAATATCATTATCATTAACTTTTCCTTTATTATGAATTAACTTTATTTTTAGGTTTATTAAAATGGAAACAAAATTAAAATCTAGTATATTAAATCTAACAAGTACCTTTTTAATATACTCTAATTAATATAGTTTTAGTGTATTACTAATTCTTTCAATTTGAATACCTAGATAATCCTTTATAGGATTTAGATCCTTTAAATCGAAATGTTCTTTTAGATTATTAATAAATTTATTAATAATCTCTTGATTTAAAGCTATTATAACAATATTATCGATATATACACTTAGAATTATATTCTTATTCTTATTAATAAAAATATATTCCTTAGAGATTAGGTTTATAAAGTCTAATTTATTTAATATATCTTTTAGGGTATGATATCATATCCTGGCCAATTGTTTTAGGCTATATAAAGCTTTATTTAGCTTTAAAGCTTTATTCTTTAATTTGTTAAATCCTTTTAGTGGACTTAATAAAAATAATATATCAATATTGCTTTGTGTAAATACTAGTACTATATCGATTTTATAAATTAGCTAATCGTTTTGGAGAGCTAATACGAATAAGAGTTTTTATATTATTGATTTAATTACTAATGTATATATATCAATATAGTCTAATCCATATAGCTATTCGAATCCTTTAATAACAAATCTAGCTTTGAATTCAATAAATTCATCTAAATCCTTTATTTTATATACCTATTTAATTCTTAAAGTTTTATTATTATTAGAATTATCAATAATATCCCAAGTTCTATTAGATTCAAGAGTGTTTATTTTGTATTTTATAGCTTTTAGTTAGTATTCCTTTTCCGAAAAGCTAATAGCTTCTTTATAAATCTTAGATTTAATTAATACACAATCTGACTTATTAATAATAATCTTTTTATTATTTTTAAACCTAATATTAAAAGTTAATTAAAGATCTTATTGATTTATTTCGATATTCACCCTTTTATTAATTGAATTGAAATATCCGGAAAAAGCAAGTCTATAATAGGAAATCACATGTTTTTTATTATCAACAAGATCTTTATTATTAGAAATTAAACCTTTTATACATTTAGATTATTATATATTAGATTCTATTACCTTATTAGGTATAGATTTACTGGGTGTAGGTTTATTGAAATCGATCTTTATATAGTCGATTGTTTTATTATTTTTATTGTTTTCGTTTATTTCGGGATTAGCTTGATATTTATTAATACTAATAATGTCTTTATTCTTTATATTATTTTAAATAGATTGAAATTTGAGGTCTTCTTTTTCCAATAGCTTTAGATCCTGGTTTTTATACTTATTAGAATATATAAAATCTTCTTGAATATCGATATCTCTTGAACTAATCATTCTCTGATTAATCGGAATATAGACTAAATAATTATTAAACGAATCAAAACCTACTAATATGCCTTTCCGAGCTCTAAAATCCAGTTTTCCATTG